CACAGCTTCCCTTGATTCAGTCCCCTGAGGCCTGGTGTTTGTTTGCTTGGCCCATGCTGAACTGTGCTCCTCTCCCAGCCTGGTGCAGCAGACCTTTCCAATCAACCATCCAGGTTGTCTTGGGCTGGAAATTTATTTCACTCTGTCTTTTTGTGGGTTCTGCTGCTCTAGAATTTGTTTAGAGCCATTTGTTACAGGTATTTGGAGGGGGTTAGGGGAGAACTCAAGCAAGTCGCTGCTTTTACTCCACCATCTCGGCTCTGCCCCATCCCTTTCTTCTTGATACTTTCCTTTCATGGTTCTCCTTCTACTCTCAGATTACTTTTCTATCTCCTCTCCTATCTTCTCTACCTTCTTTTACATCCCAGTGTTATTAGGGTTCCCCCAGTGTTCTCTCTTAAGTTTTCTTTCTTCTAGCAGTATATCTTCTCTCTTGATTTCCTGTGGCTTCAAATACCTCTCATGACATATTTGGTCATTTCCATATGACTCCCAAATTTCTCTACTAAACTCTTCTCTGAATCTCCTGGCCTGTGTTTCAAATTAAAACTTAGATTCCTCTCTTTCGTGTCTAAAACTAAATTCTTTTCTAATACAGAACTTTTCTTCCAAAAGCTGACCTCTCCTTAATTTCTCCATTACTGCTAATGGCACTACCATGTTCTCAGTCATATGAGCTGCCCACAAACTCCATCTTCCCCACAGCATCCTTCAGTCAATAAGTTACCAAGCCATGTTGATCCTCCCTTGTCTGCATCTCTCACTTCCCTAGGTTAGGCACTTTTGTAACATCCTCATCTGGTCTTCCTGCCTGTAGACTGTCCCCAGTACTATCCATTCTTTACAATTCTGTCAGAGTAATATTTCTAATGTTCCTCTCTGTTTTTCATCCCCCCCCCCTTTAAGGCAGTTGGGGTTAAGTGACTTGCCCAGGGTCTCACAGCTAGTAAGTATCAAATATTTGCACTGAGGCCAGATTTGAACTCAGGTCCTCCTGACTTCTATCCACTGCACCACCTAGCTGCTCGCTCATCCCTTATTTTCATCCTTTATTCTTCCTCTGCCTTTGCTCATGTAGTACCCCGTACCTAAAAAAGACTCTCTCTGCATTTCCATCTGTTGAAATCCCCCTCTTCCTTATATCTGTACCCAATTCAGATATCAGCCTTTTATCTTCTCTTGTTGAAAGTGATCTCTCCCTCTTCACATTTCTAATAGTACTTTACCTGAACTTTTCCTTTGCACTAGTCCTGTACCCTGATAAGACTTGTGTGCATATCCTCCTCACTGCCCTATCCTGCATTCCATTGTAAGCTTTTTGAAAGTGTTTTAGAAAGAGCATTTGATGTAATATTGCCCTGTTCAACTGCTTGACTTTGGAAAAATTAAATTACCTTGATGGACCTCAGTTTCCTTCTAAAACAAGGAAGATGTCAAACATGTGACCTACAGGCTGCATGTGGCACCCAGCATTCTCAGGTGTGACCTGAACCAGATTTGAATGTAATTGGGACATATTTAACAAAATAAAAACTCAGTAAAATATAGAGAATGTTGCATTTTAAATCTAAGTCAATATGTAGCCTGTAAGAATCCTTATGTACTAATTAATGGTCCCTCTTTCTATTTGAGTCTGACACCACTAGTCTAGATGAACTTTTAAGGTCCCTTCCAGCTTTTGATCTGTGATTCTATTATGTTTATATCCGCAGTGCCTAGACTGCACCATACATATAGTAGGAACTTCTTTATTTCTTAAAAATTAAATCTCTTAATAGCCATGTTACAAACGTTGATGCTGTCTAATATGTAGCTGGAGGTTTTAAGGGTAAGTTGGTGCTAGGTTGGATATGAGAAGAGGAAAAAATTTCAATTGCTTTCCAGAGGCCCTTTCTGGCTTTTTTTTTTCTTACTCTTACCAGTGTGCTTTTTTGTGTTTCTTAAATGAAAACATTAGGGGCATACCCATATTGGGTGGTATATAAGTTTTAAAAAGTCATCTCTGAAGTGTATGTTATACTATATGTTATACTATGTTATATCTATGTTATACTATATGTTGATTGGATCTAAGTCTTTCACAAGTCAGGCCAGGTAAAATGTGGGGGAGTTTCTCACAAAATCTATGGTTAACCTCCTTTCCCCTGTCAGGAAAACCCTAGGAAAATTAGCATTTGATTTCTATTGCCTTCTCAGGGATTTCCATCTTCCCTGCAACCACTCATTCCAACAAACTGTTGAATATAGGGCAAATTTTATCTTACTCTCAAAAAATACAGAACAAGTTTGTGCTTGATTACTTTAAACATTGGAAATGCCCCTCCCTTTTGAGAGGACATTAAACCTTCTCTCTCTTCTGGGGAGGTACTTTTCTCCCCCAGGACTAAATATTTTACCAGCAGAGGGTCATAAATTAAAACTAGGCCAACCTCTTCATTTTACAGATGTGAGCACTTATGCCCAGGGATGACTTGTTCAGAATTAACACAGGTAGTAGTAGATGGCAAAACCTAGTACTCAAACCCATCTCTTCTGACTCAAAACTCAGAACTCTTTTCTATTACACCAGGTTCTCTCACTAAGGTCTCTGTTGTGTCCCACTACATGGATCTCTTTAGTACGTCAAAAGCAAGGTTTTCAGGTTTTTCTCTTTGCTTTTATGGCCCTTTGTCTTGTTACTCCCTGAGTGAGGCACGGAGTTTTCCTACCATGTTGGTCTCTCTAGTAGTAGCAAGGACAAGGTTCACAGGTTCCAACCTCCCCATTGTGTCCCAGGCACCACTGTCAGTATCTCCATTTGGCAGCAGCTCCCTAAGGCACATGGCTCCCTCTGAGACTGCAGGGATGCACAGGAATCTCTCCAGTTCCATGCACAGTTCATTAGTCTCTTTTTCATGGTTTCCATCCCCGCTTATGTCATCCAGTCAACAAGTATTAGGCTTTTACTGTGTGCCAGGCACAGTGCTAAGCCCTGGGGTTGCAAGAAAGGCAAAACCACAAAAGCACATTTGTAGCTAAGCTTTCCAGGAGTTTACCTGCAAATGTGGGAAACAACATGTAATTAAATAGATACTTAGGGAGCAGGAAGAAGTAACATTGAAGGGAAGGCTTAAGTAGGTAGCAGAACAGGCAAGCTGCCTGCAGGTAACATTTGCTTTAAATCTTGAAAGAATCCAGGGATGTCAGGAATCAGAGGATGAAAGAGAAAGGATTCTAATCATGAGGAACAGCTACTGGCAAGGTATAGAGAAAGGAGATGGAGTGTTCCGTGTAAGGAATAGCAAGTATGCCTTTGTTCTAGGCATGAAGAGAGAGGTAGAGTTTATATTTATTCTGAACTTAATAAATACCAAATAAAATGGGCATTTCCAGAAAAAGCTACACGTGTAGTAAGTACCTCATTTTGCCTCATTCTCCCAAAGCAAGGCTGGCATCGTTGCCTCCTCAGAGTACCACCAAGGGGATGAGGTGTCTCCTTTCTGATGCTGTTGGCTTGAGCCTCCATTCTGGTGTGGTCCTCCCCAATTCCCCCACTGTTAACTGCTAATGACTAAGCGTCACGGTTCCATTTAACCAGTCAACATAAATTACCACGTATGAAGGGATATTTGCATATAAGATATATCAAGAATATGAATACATACATTCCCCCCCCAACACTTCAGGGGTTCGCTCTTCATTTTTCACTTTGGTCTCTGGGGAGAGTGGGTTCAGGCTTAATGCAGTTTCTACATGGTATGGGTCCCACCAAATTCATTTCCAAAGGCAGCATCTCTGCTGGATGAGCTCTTGTCTCAGCTACCCAATAGGGTTGAGTCCCAAGGGTTGCTGCTTCTTGGCCTTCAGGGCATCCATACTTTGCTGGCTGGAAAACCAAGTGTCAACTCCATTCCTAGACTACTGGTCCTCAGGTGACTCACTCTCCTGACCTTTGGAAGCTTACAAGGTTGTAGGCATTTCCAGCCTTCTTCACGTAAGATAAAAGAACCAAGGTCCCATTTCTGCCTCAGGTGGGGAGGGCCTACATCCTTTTCCTTTACAACAGAGTTCCTTGCTGAAATGCCATTAGCCTGGAAGAAGTTACATGAAGAGGGTGAAACCAAGTTGACTGGTGTTTTTTGAATGTCTGTCTCCCCTCTAGTTATGCACTGTGTAGCTGGAGCTTACTGGAAAGGCTGCTTTCTTGCTACTTGTTTGGTAGACCAAGAAACCTTCTCCTGATCCAGATCTCTCACACGTCCATCTTGTCTCATAGATCCGTCGCATGTCCTTACGACCATCCCCTGAAGTAGACTCCTCTGCATCTTCCGTGTAGGGAAGTGCTCAGAGGCACTCTACACATGCTCATCAAGACTGAGCTCTTTGGCCAGTCCTCGTTAGACATAATAATACAGATCTCTGTTGAGTACTAGTTAATTTTTAAGTATATAACTCATTCAGTATGAAAATTCAACCTATAACTTTGCTGTCTTGCTTTAGTTTTCTCTGGCCTGCCTTCTGTCTCACTGATTTTGTGCACAATCTAACACAGTCTAAGCAAGTGCCTCAAAAGTCAGTATGTTAAATTGGACCAAGATACGAGTCATGGTAGAGCTTTTCCTTTTTCAGATTTCTCCATCTACTCATAATGATTAAATATGAAGATAGATGTGCAGAAGCTGGAAAAGATGCCTTTAGAATATAGGAGTAGATTCTTTTTGAAGATTATTAATCAAAATATTTTTGCGTGTCTTCTACACTGGGATAGCCCTACAAAGTAGACTGCTTCCTGTACCCATGACAGATGTTTGCCTCAATACTAAGAATTCATTAGATGCAAATGTGGATATTAGAGGCCAACTACAAGATCCCATAGTCTCAATGAAAAAGGTAGTATCAATCACTATAAGGTGTTCAGAGTATTCATGTAATTGGAAACTCGTGTTCTATTTATGAATTTTACCTAGATTTCTGATGTGATATCTTTGAGTTAAATATCTGTTGTTGCCTTCTTTTCGTAGGTCAATAATGACAGATCTGTACTACCTCAGTCAAGCAGATGGAGCAGGTGATTGGCGAGAAAAAGAAGCCAAAGATCTGACAGAGCTGGTCCAGAGGAGAATAACATATCTTCAGGTAAGGTTAGGTTAAGCAGTAAGCTTAAATTAAGAGGATGGACAACAACACTAAAAGAGGTTGTAGAAGTTGACATTTTAGCTCAGAATATTTATCAGGAATCACCATTGGCTTATGAATGAATGAATACAGCACTGAGGATACAAATATAAAAGCAAAAATAGCCCTTGCCCTCAAGGAGTGTATATTCTAACAGGAGGAGACAACACATATAGTGGGATTCGTTTATGACATTTTTCTTAATCTGATGTCTGATTCCAATTGTGTTGTTTTCTTACCCAGAGGACTCTTTAATAACTAAAAGGAATAACTGGATTAAAGTTGTATAAATAATGTAATTTCTGTTCCCTCCCCTTTTGAACTCCTCCTTCTCTTACTAAAGGCTGCATAGTTACGGTGGGCAGTGATCTTTGTTTACTTTCTAAGATTGGGGAAGTTTAAAGCAAAATGATGCCATGATGTTAGTGTATATTTCAGGATACAAATTTTCCTACAGTTAAACTAGGAAAGATAGAAAATCAAGTTTTTTAGGAGACCATTAAGATCCAAACTGATCTTGACATGCAGTTTTGTTCTCTTTTTCTCACGGCCATTCATCAGAGGTGTCTGTAGAATGAGAAACACTTCACCTCCTGTAGGGAAGAGGTAATTATCCCTTATCAACCAGATACTCATTCAGTGAACTCTAAACAGCTGGTGGTGCAGAACCATCATCCTCGTTTAAAATGGAAATAGCTCTGTTTTCTGAGCGTTTTCCATTTCCACATGTTCATTAAATTTTATCCCATAAAAATGTTATCTTTTAGCTATGATCTGGTCACAGTCTAATCCCCACTCCCCACCCCTCACTGTAACATGTGCCTACCACCTGCTTCAGTTAGTTTCTGTGTTTTTTCCTCCTGATTTTAAGTGGCCAAATGTTCTTAACTCAAGTGCTAGTTCTTGCATATGATTACTGATGATTATTGTTTCATATTAGAGAATCTCACTTATAAACCCCTTTGAGGATTTAATCTAGAAGGTTTTTTTAAAAAACCCTTTAAATTGCTATAGCAAATTTAACCTTAAATTATTTTCTTTACTTTTAATTTCAGTCTTATCATTGACCTTATACATATCCTCATTTTATTCAATTTTCAGTATGAACCATTTTTGTATATTGAAAAAGAGAGTTTTCTATAAAGAAAAGTTTTATGGTGGGGAAAATATTTTTTCAAAAGTACTTTCAGTATCTATGTTTTAATATACTAAAAGAGAGTTCTTTTCTATCTTTAAGGGGACAGAAATTTTAGAGAAAACGCTTCTCTAGAAAAATATTTTTTCCTTCAGTTATTTTACACCCACATAGTCTGTTTTTTCTGCTACAGTTTACAAATTTCTTGGGAATGGAAACTATGTCTTCTATTTAAAATATAATTGTAGTCATTAGGATAAAAATAGTCATGACTAAAGATTTCGTTCCTAGATAGATAGATTAGCAGATATTTTGTTGTTCTAGGGGACTCCTTAAGTCAATAAATATGCATTAAGCACCTGTCTAGCACCAGGCCCTGTGCTAAAGGCCTAGAGATAAAAAAAGAAGAAAAAGACCTGCCTTCAAAGAGCTCACAATCTGATGAGCTAGATAATAAACTAACAAATAGATACAAGCTGAGGAAGGCACTGATTGCTTTGATATGAAATTCACTTTGTGACCATGTAGAAAGGAGTTAGGAAGATACTTCTCACAGTTTCTTAATACATTTTTGTATGAAGTTTGCTTTGGGGCTCACATGCCATTATTCTCCTTTCACACGCTGTGGTCAAAGTGGACTACCAGTTATTTTGTGATCTTGACGTTCTCTCTGTTTACCTCCATGGATTTGTGCAAACCTTTTTTCCCTGTGCATGGAATGTACTCCTTCATCTCTACTTCTTCGAGGCTTGCCTCAAGTATCAAGTATTTCATAAATTCTTCCTTAGTCCTTTTAGTTATTAGTGTTCTCTCCTTCCTTAATTTACTGTGTATTATATTTATTTGTATGTGTTGAATTCCCCCAGTAGAATAGAGGCCCCTTGAGGGCAAGGACGATTTCTCTGTTGTTCTCCTGGACCCAGGACAGTACCTAGAAGTCCAGTACGCACCTATATAGAGATAGAGGTAGGTTTCTCTAGGTTTCTGTTTCTGTTTGTTGGGCTATCATTTGCTTCTGTTTTAATGAATAAGAGAGGAAGGGAATTTAGAAAGCACCTACTGTGTGCCGACCCCTGTGCTGAGCATTTCACAAACATTATCTCATTTGATCCTCACAATAACCCTGGGAGGTGCGTGCTATTATTATCCTCATTTTACGGTTGAGGAAACTGAGACAAACAGAGGTTAAGTGACTTGCTCAGGCTCACACACTAAGTGTCTCAGGACACATTTGAACTCAGGGCCTCTTGACTCCAGGGCCAACGCTCTATCCACTGTACCACCAGCACCCCCCTCCCTCCTGCATTTGGGTGAGAGGATAGATAAAATATGTAATGCCTTTCTTTTAAAAGAAATTTTACAAAAAACTGTAGATTCAGTAATTGAACAATTAGATAGGTTTAGGATTAATTAGTTGACTGGGTAGATTCAAAAGATGAATAGTTAATCACCTTGGTAGATGGTCTTCAGTAAAGTGTCCCAGAGATCTCTCTTGTTCTATGCTGTTTTAAAATTTTTATCAGTGTCTATGATAAAGGCATAGATGGGATGCTCACTATATTTGCATATATCACAGATGCAAAGGATAGCCAATAACACTGGATGACAGAAACAGAATCCAAAAGGATGTTTAAAGACTAGAACATTGAGCTGAATTTAATAAGATGAAATTCGGTGAGCATAAATGGAAAGTCTTGCACTTCATTTCAAGAAAATTAACTTCAGCTTGTGTTTAGGCTCCTTTTTCTTAGAGAGGTCTTCAAGTAAAGGCTGGACCACCTGATCTGTCTGTCTGGTGTGTCATAATAGGTTAAGTGACTTGCCCAATGTCACACGGGTAGTGTCAGAGTTAAAATTTTAACTCAGGTTTGGTAGACTCCTAGGCTAGAATGCTCCCATGTCTGCAAAAAAGGGAGAGACATTCATTTCTTGTTTCTTCTTCAAGGACAAGCTTAGTCAATCAGTGAGTCAGCTTTCATTTATTAAGCACCTGCTATGTGCCAAGGACTGTACTAAGTGTGAGGGATACAAAGAAAAGCAAAAAACAGTCGCTACTTTCAAGGAGCTCACAGTCCAGTGGGGGAGACAACATGCAAACAACTATGTACAAATAATATATGTAGAGGATAAATTAGAGAGTGATCTTAGAAGGGAGGCACTATGATTAAAGAGGACTGCGGAAGGCTTCGGGTAGGTGGGACTTTAGCTGAGGCTTGAAGGAAGCCAGAAAGGAAAGCATTCCAGGTGTGGGGAATAGCCAGTGGAATTCCTGGTTTTGGGAGATGGTGTGTCATATATGAGGAACGAGTAGGAGGCCCGAGTCACTGGATAACTGAGTAGGGAGAGAAGAATGAAGTATAAGAAGACAGGAGAGGTCGGGGGCAGGTTTTGAAAAGCTTTAACAGCCAAACAGAGCATTTTATGTGTGATCCAGGAGGCAATAGGGAGCCACTGGACTTGATTAGGGAGGTGATATGGTTAAATTTATACTTCAGGAAGATCAGATTGACAGTTGAGTGGAGGATGGAGTGGAGGGGGGAGGACTTAAGTCAGGGAGTCCACACAGCAGGCTATTGCAGTAGTCTAAGATGAAGTAATGAGGGGGCCTGCACTGAGATGGTTGTAGTTCTAGAGGAGAGGAGGGAAGGTATATAATAGAGGTTTTATTAAGGGAGAAAGGACAGGACCTGACAACTTATTGTATACGGGGGTTTAGGGAGCTTCAGAAGTCTAGGATAATACCTAGGTTGCAAGCCTGGGTGTTTGGGATATCCCTTCAGCAATAATAGGGAAGTTAGAAAGTGTCAGGGGTTCAATTTTAGATGTGTTGAATTTCAAATGTTTATGGGACATGAAGTTGAAATATCTAATAGGCAATTGGAGATGTGAGATTGGAAGTTGAGAGAGAAAGATTAGACCTGGACAAGTATATTTGAGAGGCATGGTACATTTCCTTTTTCTGTTGTTGTTCGTTTAGTTTATTGCAGTAGTTGTATTTATTGTTTTCCATTTTCTATATATGTGACTTGTATCAATTCAGAAAAGTCTTCTCAGGCTTCCCTGAATTATTCTCATTTGACCTTTCTTACAACATAGGAATAATCCATTATATTCAGTTAGAACAATTTGTTTCAATTAGCCATTTATTAAATGTTGGCACGGGGCCCACTATGTGCCAAACATTCTTCTAAACCCTGGTGATACACATATAAAAAGATAGTACTTGCCCCTTAAGGAGCTTACATTCTAATAGTGGTTGAAAACACATGTAGGAAGGTATAACAGCAGATCCCATTGTTCTGGAAGACCACTCAGTAGGGAGGACGGCAAGGCCTAACAGTCTGGAGAGTACAGCATAGGAGAGTGGCAAGTGAAAGCCTTGTGATCTGCAGGGTAACCATTCCGAACTCTGTCCATAGGACCATAGGAAGCTACAAAATAAACAAGCACTGCCCTCCTGTTTAATTTGTGCTGGCAGATGAGAAGCAGTCACCACCATTCTTTTCTACATCCATTTCCCCCTGGGTGATGGCAACACTCAGTTTTGTTAACAAAGATAAATGTCTTCTGAAATTCCAAAACCTAAATATCCTAATCCCTATTACCTACCTACTAGTATGAGGTTGAAAAAGCAAGGCTAATTCTGGGAGAAAGTTTGGGGAAAATATTGTTTAGACATTAGGGTGGCTCTAAGCATATTCTGAGTAGTTTTCATATTTTTCCCCCAAAATACCTTAATTTCACTCATTCCTTACAGTTACCCTGTAAGTGTGATGAGTTGTATTATCAATGTAATTTTTGAAAATGAAGAAACCGAAGCAGATAA